GAAATTTGGAAATTGAGGAAATGCAAAAGATTCCCTATGCATCAGCTGTAGGGAGTTTGATGTATGCCCAAGTATGTACGCGTCCAGACATAGCATACATAGTTGGGGTTCTAGGCAGATATTTAAGCAATCCAGGAATGGACCATTGGAAAGCAGCAAAAAGGGTCATGAGATATTTAAAGAGAACACAAGATTACATGCTCACATACAGGAGGTCGGACCAGTTGGAGATCGCTGGGTTTTCTGACTCGGACTTTGCAGGATGTCAAGATAGTTTGAAATCCACTTCAGGTTACATTTTCATGTTAGCAGGTGGTGCGGTTTCTTGGCGCAGTGTCAAGCAAACCCTTACAGCTTCATCCACTATGGCAACAGAATTTGTAGCATGCTATGAGGCGTCGAATCATGGAATATGGCTAAGAAATTTTGTCACAGGGCTGCAAATTGTGAAAGGCATTGAAAGACCACTTAAGTTATATTGTGACAACAAATCAGCTGTATTGTATTCCAACAACAACAGAAGTTCGACTAAGTCGAAACACATCGACATTAAGTTCCTAGTCGTTAAGGAAAGAGTACAGAGTGGACAGATTTCCATAGAATATTTAGGGACAAACTCCATGATAGCAGATCCTCTAACTAAAGGACTTCCGCCCAAGGTCTTTCATGAGCATGTTGCTCACATGGGTGTTTTACAGTTTGAGGAATTTGTGGTTTAGTGGGAGTTAGTCATTTTCATATATTTTATGTTCTATGTTTTATATATGTATACATTGTTTTTTTGGACATATTTGATTATCTATAGATATGCGGTTTTCTTGTTCATTCATTACACTTTGTACATTAAGGTTATTGTATCGATCTCGATAAGTTAAAGTTTGGACCAGTTGAAAATAGACGTGTACAGATCACCTTCATGTAATTTTTCATGCTACACATTTCGTGATGAATCCATGTCATTTGGTTATGTCAGGATGAGTAATCTTGTTGGTTTTAGTTGCGATGATGCAATGAAAAGCTGGTCTGGTTCTATATCCTGATATGATTAATGGACAGGACTTTTGAATATGCTAAAGGAATATAATGACATTTTTGAGCTCATAAAGTCTAACACATTTGTAAGGTTGTAAGGACATATATATATATATTTGTGACCAGTGGGAGATTGTTAGCAAAATTTGGGTCACGTATATATATGATACATATTTAAATGTGTTAGGGTCATTATTTATTAAGCCAAATAATAAAGTGATCTGAATAAATTAAAGTTTTGGCTAAAGGCATATGTCATGAAAATATAATTGTGTAGAGACCATAGAGTAATTTTTAATTTGATGAGGGGCCAAATTGAAAATACTAAAACTTAAGTAATTAACCTAATTTTGGTTATATAAAGGGTCATGGTCCCCTTCTGAGAGCACACAGACAGAATACAGATACAGTCCCGTTCTTTTCTTTCTATCCCCATCAAGAGAGAAAATCCATAGGGAAATACAGGTGCTCTTCAGGTGGAAGACCATAAGATCAATTCAAAGGTGCTCTACAAAGAATATTATGGCTAATTCAGGTACGCTTTCGCATTTAGTTTATATAACATGTTTTCAGTATGGGATTATAGATATATGTTTGATCATTAGGATGAAGATCATATTCAATTACAGTTTTCTTAACACGATGTTGATCTAAATTCATACTTTTAAGCGATGAGCACAAAGATCCACCAAATGGTAGATAGGATGGGAGAGAGTAACAAATATTCAGTCAAACTCATAGACTTGGTGGAGCAATAGATTGTTGTAGAGGCTCAAGTCACTGATATGCACTAGAGAACAAACTTATATAGTCAGCACATTATCATCCAGAAGAACTCTATTACGCCATATTATTCTGCATCAGATATATGACAAATGTTATGTGAGCTTAACCTTTTGGACGATCACCTTCAACTGTAATGTTATGAGTTTATCTGCAAAAATTTCAAAAGAGATGATATTTGACCTCCCACCACACTTATGGTTGAATTACTTGTTGAAGCACATGAGCGGTGGGGGCTTGTCTTAGTTGCCATAGGATATGTAGGACACATCTATCATGTCTGGATAACTTTACTATAATTGCCTTTACTTATTAGATGATTATATTATATTTTCCTTTACTTTTTTTTTGGATGAATGAAATAAGATGTCTTATCAACTTGTAATTTATTTATTTGGATGACTGTAATTAATGTTTCTTACAAATTAAAATATTATTTTATTTAATATTATTGCACATTGAATAACAATCTTGTATTTTATTTCAATGTTATTTAATTATTGTATTTAATGTAAAATAAAAAATTAGGAAATATATAACAAGTTATAAATTATTATTAAGATAATATAATATTTATTTAAAATATCAAAAGTTTTAAATATATAATTTAAACTACAATAAAAAATATTTTATAATTAATATATAAAATAATTTTAATTATACTTTATATATAACATAATATTAATATATTTAAATATTATATACAATATAAATTAATTAACATTCTTATATTCAATTATATCATAATTATCCTTTTTATTTAATTTATCCATTATAATAATAAAGATATTTTGGTCATTATATTAAAAAAATTATTATTTAATTTTTTATATTCACTCTTATCAATTACATCAGTTACAATAAATCTACTCAAATATTTTTAAATATGTTCTCTTTCTTCAATTAAAACTACCCCACAATCCATTTTAAGTCACTTCATATTCACTTCCTCAAATCCTTATCACAATTCAAAACACAAGTATAGATAAATTAATTCATGAAAACTATATAATCAAGTCATTTCAGTAGATAAACAATATGCTCAACCATTTATATTTATTTTACACAATCTTTATTGAATATAATTTGAATAATATTATAAGTTATCTTCTTATTTATTATAATTTATATTTTTATTATTTATATAATCATGTAATTAAGCTTTGAATAGATAACATAATCCGTGTTGCAAGGGATAGACTAGTTATGTATACATTCAGGAACATGCATGACAGCGCATGGCAACAGTACAGGGTAGAGTAGTTTCTGTAAATTGTAATTATTGAAGCACAAACGATGAGATGAAGATATATATTATGGCAATGGGAATGATATATTGCCTTAGAGAAGCAATTTGATATGTAAAATTTATATAGTGCCTTAGTTGTCATGGAAAAAGGATTGTTGGTCCACAATAATTAAAGTGAAGTTATGATTAAAATAAAATCAGATTAATTAAGTAATTTTTAACATTTTTAAAAATTAGAAGTTTTAAATATTTATATTTAATATTATTTATTTATTTTGTTAAATTACATAATTTTATAAAATAGTTTTATTTTATATACTTTTTTATTGAAAGAAATAATTAATTTAAAAATGAGTAAACTTTAATTTTTTTTTTCTGTGAAACTTAGCCTAAAAGGCGATTTAAGCTAAAGAATATAAAGATTATAAGCAACTTTTTTTTTTAATCTTTAACTTGCAAATGATTTTAAGCTAGAAAAAAACAAAAAATCGGAACCAGACATATCCTAAATTAAATGGGAGATAATTTACATGTCAATATTTTAAGCGAGTTTTGTAGCTAACTCTTTCACACAAATAATCACCTTATTAAACTTTGTCAAAAACAGTAAGTAACTTCTGCACCAATTGAACCTACTAACCTGATTTTTACTATTTATATGGTAAGGTGACACTGTTATAAACACATAATTTCCTCTAAACTCAAATATAAATAAAAATCAGTTAACATCATTTAATTAGTTGCTGCATTCTTACAAGTCATAATCAATCTATTTCAATCAACATGGAAACATACAATGAAAAGTGACATAAACTCATGTTTTAGCGGTTTTCTGCCCCACAAAGTTCCTCTGACCTTCCACACCCACCTCTTAATTGGTGGGTTTTGTTATGACTTTTTATTGGTTTAATAAGTGCTGTTTTATATAGCATCGACTTTCAAATTTAGCTTTAAAACAATTAGATGCCTAAAAAACATAATTTGTGTTTTGATTGTTGACTGCAGTCGACAATATATTTTATCAAGAACATTAATTCATGTCTCTATCTACAAAAATGACCAAGTCAGGACTCTGGCAAAATACATATATACCATAAATCTGAAAAATAGAAAGCAGCAAAATATAGTTTGACAAATAACCTATACATATTTCATGTAACTGAAGGGTACCGTAGTTATCAAGCCTATAGAATTATAAGACACGACAGGATATGTTTACATAGCTACAAGTTGCGAAGACAAACCAAAGTTGATATGATTGATTACATCATTGAAATAACATTTCTATACTTAATATTATCTTTACTTTGTTAATTTAATATGTAGATTGCGGCAAGAACGTATGTTCAACTTGTAGTGTTGTAAATTGGCCCTGTTAAAAGTAATCCCTGTGGTCTGGGCCATTCAACCCAACATGAAAATCAATTATAATTGGGTTGATTTTTCCGTAAACAACTGGGCTATTCTACTTACAAGTCAATATAGTCATACGTTTTACAGGTAAATATTATTTAAAAAACTCTATACATGAGTTCATTCGTACAACATGAAGGTCTAAGTGGAAGATGACGGCTAAAAAATGCTCGGAGAACCTTTCCTTCCATCGTTCATCGGCTATGGCAACAAGTTACCTGAGGAAGTGTTTCCTAAATAATTAGTGAAACATTGTACTGGATCAACATGTAATGTGTAATCTGACATAGACAGAATGATTTTGTAGAAAGAATGGTACAAAAAAGAGATAGAAAGAATCATTTCACATGTGCTGTGCTGCCCCTTCCATTTTCTAATATATTCGGAATTTCAAGGTAGAAGTAGAACAATGTATCTCAGTGATTGTGTGATTCATTTTGCAGGATAATGTTAAAAGACAGAGTCAAATATATCAATGTTCATTTTATTACCTGTGCAGAATACAAAACGCAATAATGATCTTTCAGCTTCCTTGAATAACTCTTTGGGGATCAAGCTGTCCACTAAAATAACTAGAAGGAACAGTTGAAAGTTCTAGTCTTCCCTTCCATTCCTCGCCAGGTTTCAAAGTAATAGGATTTTCAATAGCAGCAGCCTCTACACAAAGCATATGCTTATACTCGTCATCACCGAAATCAGTCATAGCCTTTGCTTTCTTATCCCAAGGATTCCATACCACTGCATAGATAATAAATGAGAAAGTATAAATTTATGTAAAGAGACTGTGAAAATGATTCTTGTCCAATCCAAAAGCAACACATAGGCTCCGGAAATAGTGGTAGTAACTACCTGACTTGTTCTTCAAGTAAACATGTCAGACTATTATGAGTTTATTTGTTCATTTAACTGAAAATGAAATATAAAGTCACATGCAATATGTAAAGTAAATATTCAACACACCGTCACCAGTAAAATTTATCAATTGTAACACTAAGTACACATGATGAGTTTGATAATGATCACCAGAATCGGGGAGACCATCTTTACGTAACACAAATGTTCTCTTCTTCTCATGATCAAGAATTGCAATCTTTGTAGGAGTGCTGAGATATATCCTGTCAACCTATAAGACAAAGTATAAGTGAAGTGTCACTTTCAACTCATCAAAACATATGAAAGCCCGTACAACAAGACTGGTTACAACAAAACATATATGTATTACTACAAATTGGGGACAATGATACAAACTAGGTGGATGTTTTCGGTTTTATTATTTTTTGGTGCAAACATGTTTCATGTATGGGTTATGTACAGTAGCAAAACCCAGACAATATATGAAATGGATGGTAAACCAACACATGTTAGCAGTTGGCACCAGCCCATGCTACAGGAAAGGTATAAACGAGAAAAGTGAAGCTTTTGTTGGGTGTGGGAAGAAACTGTTCAATTGTTTGTAAATAAAGATTAGTATACAGCTTCCAGAAAAGTTAGACACTATCTTTCTTCATCCATAAACGACAAAAAAAGCAGCAGTCAAATGGAAAATATTCTTTTGGAAGTGGTGCTTATTACGCCTGACTTAAAATGAGCCACAAAAGAAAAATGAAATTCAAGATCTATGAAATTGGTCTGATACTCTATTTAACCAGGTTCCATTTCACAGAAACTGACATATTTTATTGCTTACAGCATACTTATTGTAATACCCATATAAAGCAAAGTTGAACAGGGTAACAATCTTACTTCTGATTCAAATGTTAAAGCATCACCCTGTTCAGTAAAGCGTTCCTTTTTCTGTAAGTTGTCAAGATAATCCAATGTCTCTAACCCCTCTACCCGCACTTCACTGAATACAAGCAAGCAAACAAACTAGTTAAATGCACAATTCAAAATCTGCATCCTAATAGTATATCCCTCAGCATAAAAATAAAATAAATCAGAGTTAACATAGTACACAAAATGAAGAAAACAAAAGATATTAATTTAACCAAGACCTGAACATTTCACAATATCAAAGACACATTTTAATCTATGAATATGCACCTAAAAATGTAAGAGGATAACATGACAGGATTTGCATGCTGTTCAATTCAAAAACATATGATTGCAGATTATTCTGTTTCAGTCGGAACAATAAGAAAAAATTTGGTATCCTCACTTTGCATCTTTAGATACCAACTCCCATTTTCTCATACAGATAAAAAACATTTTGCAAAATAGATTTCACAAATTGAGTAAGAAAAACAAGCTTATACCCACAAAATAAGGCTGCAAAGTTCTACTCATTTGTTGAATGAGTTGATCTTGAATAGGTACTCAACCAAATTCAAAAGTTACAAAATTTGACAACAGAGTCAATATATTACTAGAGATCCACAATAATACAACATTTCGCATCGAAATGAGATAAAGCATGTTTCAATTTTCAAGCACTTGCCTTATATCTGACACAGAGAAATATGTATGATAAGCAAATGTGAATGAAAATGGCTTCCCATCAATGTTAGTGTTCCTGATCCGAGATGTCAACATTAGCTCTCCTCCAGGTCCAAGAGCTACTCTGAGACGAAACTCAAAACTAATTCAAAAAGAATGGTATATAATATTAGAAAGAAATATAACATAAAAATTAGTAAATAAACACAGTAAAAAGTATTATTAGTTAAGAGAATGTTCCCTAAACATAGGCTAAAAGCTTTGAATGTTACTGTGTATACCTGTGAGGCCAAATCTTGATGTCGTCTTCCGAGGGTTTAAGAATCAAATCAACATAGGCTTTACTCAAAGTATTTGTTGGAAAAGGTGGAGGATTATCATCAATGGTCCAGAACCGGTTTCTAGCAAATCCATGTGAGTCAAGAGTACCAAGGTTTGCAAACTACAAAGAGAGAGAGAGAGTCAGTATACTTGTACAAGTAACATGGGATGATCAGAGTAACAGTGCATATTGGGGAGGGGGTATTTACAAATTGCAATGACATTCAGAACACCCTACTTTTTTTATTTATTCCTAATAGTATGTCAGTGATTGCAGATTCTGAGTGATTGAGGGCAGTAAATCTACAAGGCTCAAACAAAGAATCTCTCTGTTTTGTTTTGGTATCACTTTTAATTCTGCCACTGATTTCAACAGTCCAAAACCAAAACTGATTTTGCTGCAGGGGTAGACTGGTGTATGTGGTTTTGTCTTACAACCTATTTAGAGACCAGTTATTTAGCTTGGGCCTTAATTGCAATGTCCTAGTATCCATATATAAAAATGCCAAATGGATTTTTGAGTTATGGCTGCTAATTGATCTCTTCTTTGTAGTGCAATGCAGTCAAATGTGAGCCTGATTCGGGATTCGCTCCTTTGCCATCTCATATTTTACCATGTTTATGGTTGATTAATTCCACATTGCCCAAACCTATATTTTCCTGGCAATCAGCATTAAAAAACTAATCCTATCACGAGCAAATTGTTTGGAATACCTGCTTGAATTTGTCTTAAAACTCATCAAATCCAAAACCCCATCATACAGCTGGGGCAAATAACCCTTATTAAAAGTACCGCCTCCCCAAGGTTTGCTATCCTTGATTTGACATCCTAACCCCGATCTATGAACTTGTAACACTTCTGGTCTCCAACATCATGGTGACTTTGGATTGTGGCTAATATCAGAGTTTCTCATAATCTAGACTTTGGTTTTGTTGGGCCTTGCATCATATTATTCTTCAATTAGAAATAAATTACACGAGATATGATATTAGGCTTTTATCGTTGTAGCAGAAATATAATGAGGTTTATCTTCACAACATTTTAATTTCATTTAATGAAATGTAGAGCTTTTGCTTATGACTGCATGATATATCAAATCTTTCTCTCCATCACATGCTTCTCCAATTTCTACCTACTTCCTTTCAAAGCAATTTATCACAATGAAAGCAACTATGGAAAACAGAAATATTGACATTAGAAGTACATACTTGAGGAAAACATATTGGGATCCCTCCACGAATTGCCTTTGGAGGCTTAAATATAGCCTGCACAAGCGCACAATATTAATAAAACACGATGATTCAGAGCTTATCAACCTCATAACTGGAGTTTAAAATGAATTTTCAAGCCAACCTTGGGACACAAATCCTTTGGGTACTAGATTCTTCCCAACATATACTTCCAATATCAAAATGTATCAGTTTTCAAAAATATTTCTCAAAACAGTTGAGATAATAATATTGAAAAATATATCTCAGTTAAATCATTTTCTTCCCTTACAGTTGTTCAGTCAAATTTTGGACTTAACCAATGAAAGTTTTCACAGGGAACTGATATTTACAACCTCATTGAGATCAAAAGTTAATCAGATTTCCCCCACTCATCTTGACATGAAATGAAGGAAAATCAGCCAACTGAGAAATACACTAAGAACTTAAATTCATATATGCTTCACACTGTACCTTGCTGCTGAGAAAAAGTAATTCCTCGGCTTGGTCATTCTTCCAAGAAGTCACGTGACCACCGTACAAGTACACCTGAAAATCACAAACCCAGAAATGAAACCTAATCAGAGCCAACACCATCAGAACCTGCAGAAGCGATTTGCTACTTCAAATCCGATGCAAAAGCAGTAAAATCAAACACCAAACACACGCCACTATGCTCGAAGAATTCATTTCACCGAAAATTAGCCTACAAGATAAATCAAATTGCTTAGAAATAGTATTTTCAGATCAAAATTCTCTAGCTGTTAACAAATCTCGATCCAGACAAAGCTCACAAATCAGCACTCTCCAATGAACAATGGCGACGAAAACCGACGTGGCAAAACCAAAACGACAATAACAAAACTTAAATCTAAAGGCGAATACGAATCCAAACTAAATCGTGAAAACGAGAAGCGGATCAAGAAGTATCTGCTTCGAATCAAAGACAAACAATTACAGACATTACTAAAACAAACAAATATATACAGATGCACGGAAGAAATAGGTGGAAACCAACCTCAGCGGAGCTTCCACGAGCGTCGCGAAGAAGAACCTTGTCAAGGCCATTGAATCCCTTGCACACCTCGTAGTTACTCGAAGAAGATGAAACTGATGAAGGAGTCTTTTCGGTACTCATTGCAACTCGCAATTGGTACGGCTTACTTCTCGATTCACTACCGCCACAATATATATATATATATATATATATATATATATATATATATATATATATATATCATCACTCGCAATCTTCCAATTCTTTCACATAAAAACGCGTCGCTGCAACTGCAACCTCTTCTATTTGGTTTCTCTCTCTTCATTTTCCTAAATCACTTTCTATTTAACTTTCCTTAATAATTTATTATTATTAATTTCGGGATTTTTTAACGTGACGAGAACCGCAAACGTGTTGAGGAATCGTGTAGTTCTGACAGCGACGATAGATTCATATAATATTCTATCTTTCTTCGCATTAATCTAACAGTTTTTCCCATATTTTGCTGATTGACAATGCGCAAATACTACTATAAGAAAGAGCAATGATAGACGTAGGGAAACATAATTCAAGATATTCCAAATCCCAATGACGTAACAGGAGTTTTGTGAGGTGCGTGTGGTAATCCTAACATTATACTACTTTTGTGCCCTGTTTTATCGTCGTAATGAGATACAGCAAACACTTAGCATCCCTCCTTTGTTTCATGGTTGTACTGTTCATAGCACGGGAGAACGGATTTATAACCATAGCATGGGAGACCGAATTTAGGTGACGAATTTTGTTTGGATTGATACATTTGTAGAGAAAAAGTGGGAATGAAAGGAAGGAATTCGTATAACAATTTTTCTATTCTAAAACATAAAGATATATAAAGAAAATCAGGTCTAATGATAGAAAGTTTATTTTATTGGTTAAATAGATTAGTTTTTCTCGGTAGTCAATTAACTTTTCTTGATTATTTTTTTATATAATTTATTAATATATATATATATATATATATATATATATATATATATATATATGACAAATTCATACAAAATTAATTACAAAAAATTTGAAAATAAATTATAATATAATTTATTATTGTAATTAATTTTTTAAATACACAAATACGGTAAATTTTTTTAAAGATAAGATAAAAATATTTGATGATATTTTATCATAAATCATTTTAAAAATTAATTAAAATTATAGATAAATGTGATTCAAAACTTAATATTTTATTATAAGAAACATTTTTTTCACAGTACAATCAATAAATTATTTTGATAATTATGATTTTTTTTTACAAACAAACTTGAACTTATTTTAAATTTATAATAAATTTAAAACATCTAATATTTTGGTGTTCTAGAATTTGATATTTTAAAATATTATAACTTTGAACTATTTTTTAATCATTCATTTTAATAAAAAATCATTTTAATGGTATTTAAAATAAATATTTGTTTAAGATCTTCCACATAATTTATTTTTTAAAGTAAAAATTAAAATATTAATTTTATTTTTAAAATTTTATACTAAAAAAATTCTAAAATGAACATAAAAAACATCCAAATTAAATTTGGTCATACTTAATTTCAAAAATAAAAAATTAAAGTATGACAAAAATAATATTTATACCAATGTTGGAATAATAATACACAAAGACTTAATACTAAATTACATTTGTTATTTAAATAATTGTTTTTTAATAACTTTATTATTAATTTAAATTTTAAAAATAATTATTGTATATTTAATCATATGCTTTCAACTTAGTATATAACAACGTATAAAAAGAAATTATACTATAATTGTTTTTGGAAATAATATTTATAATTTAATATTACTTATAAATTATTTTAAAAATAAATAAAAAGTATAAATATTTTTATAAATTTATATTTTATTTTTATTAAAAATTATATAAAGAATATTTTAATCTTTTATTATTTAATTTTCATAATAATTTCAAATAATTTAATTAATTATAATATTTTCACTCGTTTCTCTGCTGCTTTTTCAGATACAAAAGTTGTCGTTTCTATTATCCCAATTGCTTAAACGTTTAATATACAACCAAGAAAAATGTTGACACAAAACAAAATGGAGAGAATAATAAGAAAAATGGGGGAAATCACACTTTTATTTCCAAAATAAATAACCTGTTGAGTGGCTTTTACACTGTACTGTACAAACTTCATACTCAATTTATCAAAACAACCTAAGTAATTTCTTCCCAAAAACAATTTTGAATGAAAAAAAAAAAAATGATTAACAAGAAACACATAAGACAAACACTCCATCAACCCATAGATAATTAACATCAAGCAGCTTTTCAACAAAGACAGAACCTAAATATCTTTATTTACTTTCTTCCTTTCACTTGTTAAAGAAATTCATGCTGTCCCTTTCACTTCCATATGTTCAATTTCTCGCTGCAAAAAACAGATAGCAAGCTCACTAGATATAAAACACAGATAACAATGTCAAACGCACGGAGCAGACAGAAGTTGAAGTGCACTTTAAAACTCAGAACAACTGAACTGCCATTTTGAGTTTGTTCTGTTTCCATTTTGGCAACTTGTAAAATTCTTTCTTTGTCGTCCCTAATTTCTCTTGGAACTCGGCAGATGACAAATAGGCCTGTTCATGAAGCTCGAACAAGTCAAAACAAAATTGAAATAAAGCTTGATTATATGATGCAACTCCCGAAGAAAGATGAGAAGACACGCAAGATGATGCTAAAGTAAATGTAAGTCTAGTTGTTTTCATTATACCTCTCGTTTAGTAACGTCAATATCTGTTATAGGATCTGTAGAATCTGTGTTAATGCGATCATATGGGTAAACTGGGAGACTTTCATCATCTTCAGCTTCACCCTCTTTCACACCCTCCTCTATGGTAAGAGATTCTATTCTCCTGCTCATAGAACCCTCCTTGTCAATTGTCTCCGGGTTTGATATTGCGGTAACTAAACTCCCTTCATATCATAACAAACCAATAAGAGAAAAGTTCATTTTATATCATATAATATTCTAACACTAACATCAAATATCAATGCACACATCTACTGCAAACCTTTTTGTGACCGAGGAATCAAATTTTCTAGCGCTGATGATCGTTCAAAACTAGAAGTAAGATGAGATATGGCTGAAAACTTAGGTGCCGGTTTTGCTGTATCCTGTGCCACAGATTTTGGGTACAGTTTTCTAACCACTGGAGGTGGAGTGGAAAGGTTCCTGGTATTTGTGTTCTCAAAATTAGCTGCTAATGCATTAAAGGCTGGAGATCTGCCCCTCACACGAACACGATCAGGACTGACAGACATGCTGCGGGAACGCTGAGATTTATCTGGCACACCACCAGACCTTCCCCCATAAGATACTGTTGCTCTTCGTTTATGTTTCTGATAATGTACCAGATATTAATAACCAAGCAGATAAAGCAAATACAAACAAAATATTAATATAAAGACCGTGCATTAGATGGAACAAAAATTGTGATTCAAAAAAGAAACCTGATAATATATTATAAAAAGGAAAAATAATACTTCGATAATTCAATGATAAAAATTTGCATACCACAACCTATTTAATAATAAAATAATAACTTTTCACTTACATTCCACCCACCTAGTTATTATTATTATTATATAATAATAATAATAATAATAATTATTATTATTATTATTATATTATTATTATTATTATTATTAAGTTGTTAATTGTTTATTTTTGGGTTGTAAGAGTATCTTGACCCAATAAAAAATGGCAGAGATAAAACAATTAGAATATTATACAGATAAGTATATGCTTAGTTCAACTTATTGGAAAAATAATAATTTGTTTACCTTCATTTTAGAGAGCTTTTGAAAAAAAAAATCAACAAGAATGAACCAAGAAATTTTTCTGATAATTGGTAAGAAAATATAATTAGACTAGAAAATTATAATGAGATAATAATTTTAATATAAAATTGAAATATTAAAAGCAATTATTCGATATCAAGGAATAACCCAGCAGAGTCAATTACTGGTGTGAGATTTAGATGATTTGCATTAAGTTTTTGTTTCAAACTTTGGCACTCTTTGTATATCTAAAAGAATGGGGGTGGGGGGACCTGCTAACGAGGAACAATGAGATAAATGGACAGAATTTTTTGTTGGATAAAATTATCTCACTCGTATATTAAAGATGAGATTAAACTTAACAAGTAAAAATAATATGGAAATTCAGACTAACAGTTTAGTGTGGTAATTCCTCACTGTTTAGAAAAAAGTTATTCTGTAAAGGAAGCATAGAAAAGATTACATACAAGTACAAGCGGCGCTCCCCCATTTTTGATGATTGCAAGCTTCCTTTGAAACGAGTTTCCCAGCATCTGCCATAAAAAAAATGAATTAGTTTAGCAGCCAAAATTATAAGACTATTTGAGGTCATATATATATATATATATATATATATATATATACGAAAAACTTACTGCAGATTTTGCAGATTCCCATTTAAAGAAGCGAGTGAAGAAAGGTGGCTCACTACCTTCCATGACAATATATAATGGAGCTTCACGAGATAATGTTTCTAGAAGAAAATCAAGCTCGAGAAATTTCTGTATAATTCCAAAGAATAAGTTAAGAATTGCACATCTGGTTTTAGAAATACTAGAACGTAAAAAATATCGAAACTGCTTTATGGTATTCGAATGATAGAAAGAGTTGACGTAGTTAAACTTAAATCCATATTAAAAATGAAAAACCTAAAAGAACATTAACTAAGTCGTAAGAAGTTTGATTTATAATGTTACTCAAATACTAGAGTTATTAGTCACTAAATTAATCTAGCATGTTTATAGCTTCCAGGAAAAGCAAAACCGGGTATACCTCACCAATTGTTAGAGCCTGCATTCTACTCTTTGGGTCAACCTGCTGGCCAATCCAGACGAAGATTTCAGAGTGACAATCCAAGATGTAAATATCCTCTGTCATCAAATCATCCTGGGTAAAGTTGTATATCTCTTTCACCTGCAAGCATGCTTCAGATTAATGCACTGCAGAACAAAATATTTGCATCTTCACAACACAAGCAAAGCATAAGATATAGCAATAAGATTTTATTTGGGATAAAATCACACCCCCAATAAATTTACCCTCTAGATCTATCTTCAATTCACCTTTATTTATTAGAAAAGTGATCAATAACTCACAAACAAGTCTTTCTGTCAGCATTCCATATCCAGAGTTAGTCTTTTAAGGACGGGAAGATGACCATGACCACTTTGCAGAATGATCATGTCCTAGGTCCTCCTAACATGATGCTTTTACATAAATCAGATTATTCCTTTTTGCCAATCGTTATGTCAACTAGTCATCAACTAAGTTTGACTATTTTGCTGTCTGTTTATCATTCAAGTGTATAATTATACCACGGGACATCTAATTAAGTGATCAAAAACATAATGTCATTATGACAACTTAATGAAACACTAAGAATGCCTCTTTCTAGCATCAGATTTGAGTAACAACAGTGTGGTTGTTAAAAAGTGTCTTAAAAAACTGTATATTATCCAAGTTTTGTAACCTTTCCTGCCCATCATTTTTGCTAGCTTTCCAAGCTTGTTTTTCAATCTTATTGAATCACTGTGTTGAAAATGGACCGTGTCATTGAGTTTTTAAATAAAAGGGGAACTTAAAAGTCAAAATGTTGTAAAAGAAATATTGAAATTGGCAAAAACATTTTTAACATGCCTTCCACTTTGGGTTACCATAACTCGAAATATTCCAAAATCATGCATATCACAGATCAGTGGGTGTACACACCTTTAAATTTCCTGCACATTGGTCAGTCAGCAGGGAAAGAAGCCATCACAAACAAGTCAGCCATTTGCCTTTAAGAAGAGAAGGAACTGGGGATGGAGATCAGATAAGTCTTCAATTAACAAAAAAAGTTGTTCTTACCTTGTGAGAAGTTGCAAGAAAATAAGTGAGGGTCATTTTCTTCATCCCTCGCGATCTTTTGACTGGGATATTCCGATTTTCCGCCCAACCAATCCCAAAACAGCTCCGATTCTACGCCTTCCTTATGTGGTTTGCATTGTAAATCCGGCTACAGACAATTGGCAAGCATATGTTTCGATTAATAAATAGTGATATATATTTTATTTTTTACATAGACGTAGTTCCCAGGATGGGTAATGTGGCTTGGGTGATAGCACCTGCCCGGATCAAACCCAGGACCCTGAACAAAGAGGAATTAAAGGTGGCCCATCGGCAAGTTTATCAATAACCAAGATAGTCAACCATTTTCAACATGCAAAAATATAAAACCTCCCACTTTAACTGCTAGTCCAACATGAATATGTTGACCAAAAATATATTTCGGTACATAACAGACCTTAATCAAATCCAGCATTCTCTCAGCAAGCTCTTGATCATCTGAAGTTGCTAAACCTCCAGACCAAGTAAAAACAGTGGGTCCGCTATGAAGTATGTAGCAATAACTGGAATTCAAGGAGGAAGCAACCTGGTTGACAAAAGGAATGCGAAAACAATTATTTAAATAAGATTTAATTATTCATTTTTTGTCCTTATAGTTATTTAGATCCCTATACTTAAAACTTATGTATTTTAGTCCATATAAATATTATTTTGAATCCTTTCAGTCTCTATGCTTACTATTTTTACCCTTAGTTTCTATTGCCTGAAGTTGTAGGAATTAAAAGAGATTAAAAAATAACATACATTAGAAAAAGGATGATTTTGAAGTATAGGGACCAAAAGATAAAATTTGTTTAACAATAAAGTTCAAATGTGTAATTTTACCTTTAAATAAAATCTATATAATTTAAAAAAAGAAAGTTTAAATTGCCCATATAAATAGAGTGGATAGAGATGGCTGCTATAAACAGACAAGATGACATACTGGTTCAACTTGTATAGCTTGCATATTTTCTGGTCCAAGGCCCTGGATGCGGAATAATGCAACACCATCCTCGCTATATGTCTCATCTGGAATTTCCTTCTCGGCAATGTATTTCTTGTATCCATCACTAAGTCCACCCTTATAAACAATTGAAATAAATGACCAGTATTAAACAAAACAATTATATTCATAAAAAAATTTCTTAGTTAACCCAATACCAGAATTTCACAAACCTTAAAAATAATACAGCTTTGGAGGATGGCATGAAATTGAATTGGTTCACTGCCTTCATAGATACGAGCCTTCAATTAATTATACACAGATATTATCAATAGCAGTAAAAGAAAAAAAACAAATAAATCTATCAACAAATTGAACATAACAATTACCTGGGTAGGAAGAAACTTCATTGACTCAACCATTTTGCTTGCTAGTGAAAGAGCTGAAGCCCTCTCTTCCTAATTTAAACAAAGAAATTTATGTAAGGAATGGAGGCTAATACATTTATTCAAGGGTTTCTGTTCCCAAAAGAGTTGCCAATGTTGTGAACAGCGTAATGAAATATGTAAGTAGTGTTTCACTGATACAGTTTCAATTCCAGTTGAATGTTTTGCAGTCAGATTTTTTGGATTTGCTTACATGAAAGAAATAATTATAAACACACACGTGAAAAAAGAAGTAGAATAAAGCTATTTAAATCTTTCACCTCAACACTAGTCTTTCCAATCCATGTTCCCGCAAGATACTCTTCCTTATCTTCTCCAGGATATGAATATTGAAAGATATAGCAATCTCCACTATAAAATTTTGACTGATCAGTGGCTGGAAGAAGAATCTTTTCCTGACCATTCACATGCCAAACCTGTGTGGTTTTGTAAAAGCTCTTGTTAACAACATAAACAAATAAGCAAGAGAAATGTACTTTACTGAAATTACAATTAGTCCAACCAAATAGGGAGGAGTACAGAACATATCTTCTGAAACTCTCACAAGATTCCATATATATATATATATATATATATATTCATTGTTCTGATATACTTGAAAGTTTTTTCATTGTTTTTAGTAGCTAATAGCACACATTTCACTCACGATGATTTTGTTTGTCTGTTCTTTTCCACTTAATCCTTCAAGCCCAACAGTGGAATGTGGGAAAGTTCTTTGACACAATAATGCAAAAAGGTATTTTGCTGAAGAGCTTTTTCCAATACTTTAATGACGATAAATCAAATAATGAAAAGAGAAAAAATAAATCATTTTAAAATTAATCATGTTCTAATTGAATTATTAAAAATTGGATTACATAAGATTTTGGTCCCTATAGATTCTATATATTTGAGTTTTGGTCTATCAAGGACCAATAACTTAGTAAAAAGAAACTGTCATAAGAACCAATCCTTCATGAAAAATAAGGACCAGTAGTGCTAAAACTCAAATGAGATGAAAATGTAAGAATCCTGACTCTCTTGACAATGACTAAACCCAGTGTCAACAAGATTAGCTAAATCCTTAATATTTATTCCTTATTGATTCTCCTATAATTTTTCTATAATATTTACTAGAACAAATTAGGTCACATTTGAATAGATAATTTACTTTTATTTCATTACTTGACATATTTCAATAGGTGTAAATTAGTCATGTGCTAAGAAAAGTTTCATTTTATAAAATTACTTTTATATAGGGATGACAAAACGGGTCAGCTCGTCCCGTTTTTGCCCGCTCCGCCTTTGGCCCGCCAAAAACGGGACTGAGTGGGCTAGTCCGTTATAATTATGACTGACTATAGACCTTAGTCCGCCCGCCAAGAGGCGGGTTGACTGACTAACGGGTTGTCCCGCCATAATTTAAAAAAAATAATTTATTTTTTAAAATCAAAATTTTCAATAAATTTAATAATAAGATTATTATTTGTTTGTCAATAATTCAATATATTTATATATATATATATATATATTATTTCAATTTAATAATATAAATCAATACATTGTTTTAAGAAATTATAATTTAGAACAATAATAAAATTTACATAATAATAAATAATAACAAATATATATATATAACGTTAAAACTTATAAAATTTATATTTTTTATATTGAAAAATTCAAGTACCTATATCTTTTTTATTTGATAAAACTTTACATTATTCTTGCTTCGATAATTCTTACACCATTAATTCAAGTCATAAGGATAAAAATAATTAATGCTTAGGATAAATAAGGAGAACATGAGAGAGAATGTTGTGTGTTTTAGTAAGGAGAATATTTTCTGTGAGAGTGAAACTTTTTAATTCTTTTTTTAAAAATTTTAACTTTATATATTATCTTTATAATTAACTTTATTACAATAAAAATTATTTTTTTATTAATTAAGCGAGTCACAAGCTAACCCGTCCCGTCCGCGGGTTGGCCCAGACAGATGGTGGCTGAAAACACCAACCTCCCTCGCTATATTATAGCGGGCTGAACCACCGTACCTGACCCATTTTGCCATCCCAGCTCGTATTATTAAACGGGATTCTGTCAATGATGAGAAACACTTGGTCAAATTTTATATGGTACTAAACCGTCAGTTCTAAAACCCACCAACATTTAGGTTTTAAGTGGTCTTTGGGTGTTGGATTGAACCCATCTATGCACTATTGTGCATAATGAGATGTAAGTTTTAAGTGGTCTTTGGAATCGCCATGAGCAGCAGTATTTAAGTTTCCTGAATTTGTGGATTGAATATTTTGATATTTTCATTTATTCAAAACAAGGAAAGCAAATGTGATCAATTCATGATGAAACTAAGACCAAAATTTAATACTGCACAGGGTGGACTTTTAAAATAAAATTCAGTCCCTTCTCTAGATATTTGTGCTGGTGTTGTTGTGTGAATAATCTTAATTTTGTTTCTGGTTGATGTATAATTCTTGATCATGCTCTTATTTCTTGAAAGAGAAAGACACAACCTGGAGAGTTTCTAAATCCTCTACTGAGTCTAATGCTATGCCCCATACTTATTGTGAGATTGTTTGGCTTTGGAGATTCTTGGAAGAACTTGATTTTCCTCAAGATGAGACTACTCCTCTTCATGGTGATAATACTAGTGTTATCCAACTTGCTACCAATCCCATATTTCATGAATGTGCTTGTGATCATATTTGTGAAGATTGTGATGCCTACCTCATATGTCTTCCTAATGTGCCGACTAATCTTCAAATTGCTTACATCTTTACTAGGCTTTGGTTGACAAATTAATGTTTCAAGATCCAACAACATCAATTTGAGGGGATTTCATCAAGATTAGCTAAACCCCATTTTTATTTCGGCCTTATTGATTCTAATATAATTTCTCTACAATATTTATTTGAACAAATTTGCACGAATTTGAAGATCTCATTTACTTGTTTTATTTCGTTAATTGATAGATTAGAATAGAAGTAAATCAGTCATGTATAAGGCAAAGCTTCCTTGTAAAATGTTAATGATTCTTATTAAATGGGATTCTCAACCTGAGAGGCATTCAGTTAAATTTGTGACAAAAATAAAGAAAATGTAGAAATCAATATATATGGAAAAAAAAAAAACTATAGGGCAAAAGACAAATAAATATATATGAAAAAAAATCTCATTTAAATAAAAAAATTATGATAATAATCTAATTAAGGACTAATATGTAACAGGTAAATCACAAAGACACAAATTTTATATTTATATATTCAATTTGTGTAGAAGTGTCGAGTCGCTTATTCTTAATTAAATTACTTCCTATAGCTATATTAATCTCTCTCAGAAAATGTTAAGCATCTACTCAATTTGTTCTAAATCAAATTTAAAGTAGTCTGACACTCTAGATTTCACATATTCCTATCATAGGATAGAACACAGCTCTTATCCTCTTGTGCATTCAGTTTCATTGTATGTCTCTCATTGTGATGACCTTTGTAATGTCAGACATGTGGAGTATTATGGATCAGTGATTGCGATTCCAAAAGATTCTTTCAATATAAGAAGTCAATTAGACGGGGTATATAAGGATACTAGAAATTTAAAATTCATACCGACAAAAGTTCAAGAGATTTCAATTTTGATGAATTGTTTATTGTATAAAGACTACAAAAGAGCACCTGCAAATCTCCTGTGCAATCTATGTAAGGTTGAGGTTCCTCTTTTACAGGTTCAGATTTTAAGAGACCCTTGACATCCAAGCCTTGGCGTTTTAGAAGTGCTAGAATATTAAAAAAATAGAAAATTAGAAAAACATAATGAAGGTCAGGCAAATGGTGCTCACAAAATCAATTTAAAGGTGAAGAAACATATTCAGTCCAATGTCAAGTATAAAATTTAATTAAAACTACCTGCTACCTTGCCACGACCATCTTCAGACATTACATGAGTTCCCTGAGGCCAAGAATCAAACTTGGACTTGAACATTACTGTTTCAAACCCTTCAATTACACGAATTATATGGGACTTTGGTCTTCCAGTGTCACTGACTAACTTCTGTTTTTGATCCACAAAAATTCAAGAGTCATTCAATGTCAGAAAAAAATGCTGGAAATACTATGAAAGAAACAAGAGATGTTACCTCTGCAGCTCCGCCTGCACTTTTTCTTTCATCAAGAGATGTGTTTCTTCCCATCCATGCAAACACTTCCAACCCACAATCTATAATATAGCATTTGTTGGTCTCCAGCAATTCCTTGGTCAAAGAATCAGTTTCAATAGGTTCTATCTTCCCCTTGTCAACACTGGAAAAGTTATAATTTCACTATAACTAGAGCACCATAGAATCTTACATTTCAGTATAATAAACAAATTTCATCTATGTAATTAGCATTATTTTTGTTGGAGATCCCACTCTGACCAGAGATATGACCAAATTATAGTATGTAAGTGGATGTAAACCTCATCTTGTAAACTGGTTTTATATGGTTAAGTTAGGTTCAAATTCACTTTCTAATAATTTTTATAGTCTCAAATTACCTACAATGTTTTTTAAAAGAATGGTAAATTTATAATCCTTGTGGTAAAAAGGACAAAAGGAATATACTGACTGTGTAAATATAAATGAAAGAACCAGTGGAAAAACTGGAAAATCAAATTACCAAAGTATCTTTGGTGGATGAGAATCAGCAGGCTTATCATCATCATCATCCCTGACTGTTTTCCGTGGAAGAGGAGCAAAGCCCCCAAAGCAACCCCAGAATTCTCCAGTTTCAGAATCAGACATCAGTTTTCCATCCTCTGCAAGGAAGTTCAAGCATATATATCCAATTAGTGATACTAAGCAATCATCTTTGAAACTGTAAAATATACTTACACTTACCAATAGAAGCTATCTCACATTTCCCACAATGGTAGGTATCCTTAATAAACTGTACAACTTCCAATGCTTTAGCCCTTTCTTGAATTGATGAATTGGAACCATTAAATTGGAAAATTTTGGACTCAGTGTCCAGAATAAAAATATCATCATGGTTCAGTGAAGATCGAGCAAATGGAACCTATAAACAACACAAATAGCTAATCAACAAGTAGAAAATAATATTTACATATGTGGTGTCGTATACAATATGCACAATAATAATATACAAGACTCAAACCTCAATGAGTCAATGGCAGAGGAATAAGGTCAAACTTGCCTCTTTGACATGTACCACATGTTTCCCTTTGCATACAAACAACCGTGTCTTATGTTCTTCAGCCTCGACATGTTTAAAACCAGAGGCAGCTCCACCTTCTTGAGGTATGATACATGGTTTGAAATAAGAGAGGAACTTTTCAGTTTCATGGCCTTGTACTTCACGATACTGAACAGCTCGTCCTCCTAGAGCTGCATCCAACTCAACTGTCTTGATTGCTGCAACACCAGCTTCATCCTATTTTATAGTTGTGATCATCAGTGAACACATGAACAGAAGGAGACTATATCAAATATTAAACCAAAACAATTGGAGGAGATAACAATATACAAACAACAAAAATTACCTGACTGGTCTCTTTACCAAGCCAATAATGGATATCATGACGCAGAGCACCACTTTTTGAAGCAGTTGTCTACATGGAGAGCATAAGCAAAATGAAAATTTTGATATTCATGGAAAGACGTTAATGCATGCCTGATGCAGGAAGGCAAATAAACTAAAGAAAAGTAAAACCTACCAGATTAATAATTATCTTCAAAAAATTAAATAATGAAGAATAATATAAATTCAACACATAAGTTATGCCAAGGAAGACATTAAGACTTTAGGGTTAACATCTTGGGAGGAAAATGAATCCTATGGGAAAGAAGCCAACAATCTCGTTTTAGAGAAACCCATATTCTTATACATTTGAGAGAAAATAATTTATTTCCCAAATGCTTGCAACCATACTTTAAACTATTCTGTACCAAAAGTTCCAAAACTAGGAACAGAAGTTCGTACGAAGGTACAACTGGCCAAGCTCCCCAGATTCTGTATTAAAAATAATATATTTCCTAAATGCATATAGTCATTCTTTTCACCTTTCTTGTATTACTTTATTTGTCAATACATGTCCATTGTCTACTAATCAAAAGACTTGATTGTGTAAATCTCTAAGCTTCCAGTTTTTCCATCCAATGTATGTAACCGGTCTCTCTGGTTACAATTGGAATTACTGACTATCCCAAGAAGAAGAAAAAGATGTCAATCATAAGCATGCTCACATTTTAGGACAGCGAATGGTTCATGTGAACCAACATGTGTGTTCATACTAAGAAATAACTTCATAACCAGAACTTATTCAACGAAGAGACAGAATCAGTTAGCATTTTTATTTACCATTAGATGGATGAGTGTTCTCCATCACTTTATGTCTTATACAACAAGGCAACAATCATCTTGAGTTTTACTAAATTCATGATAAATTTTGTCATATTCTTCTGGCCATGTATAAATATACTTCTACTAAAGCTCAGGTGTTACAATGTTAAATGGTAAAATATGAATACAAAAATAAATTATTTACAGTTAATATAACACAACAGTTGTAATAAACATAGAAGTATCTGATAAGATTGATATACAAAACCCTGCCTAGACCCCACAATAGTGGGAGTCTCATGCACAGGACCTGGTATTCACATGAACCCTAGCAGTATAGAAATATGTGATAGGATTGATGCAGGTATTTAAAAGCAGAGTTTACATTTTTTTTTATCAGCAAATGTCAGTTGTTAATATGTTAGTTTTTGTTGGGGGAGGGATTCAAAATCACAATATATACCTCCCTCCTTACCACTTTTACCACCAATCAATCTTTTATCTCTTAAACCACATGATGAATGTTCTACGAAGAAAAATGTAAAATAGACCAAAATCAATCTCATATGTTATTGCATATTGTTGACATCAAACATCAACTAGATATGTAATCAATGTAGTCCTTATAAAACTTGGGTAGTCCATATATTATAAGGTGATTTAGTAAGGTTGAGTTATGATCGAGCTCAAATTCTAATATGGTATTAAAACCTAACATAAATTTGTTATTGGACCAGTTGCATTTGTCTACACTCTAGACGTCACACACACATCGGTGTGAAGGACCTTTCAAGCCTCTTAGGATTAAGTCCTAACCAAAATTCTAAGACATCTCAATACAATATGCAATAAACAGAAATGCAAGCTTCTTGCAACAAGATGTTTACCAATAGGAGACTAGCTTTCAATGAATGAGTAATCATTTGGAAAGTATATTACTTACCTTCAAGATCATATAGGAATCCCCAGTGAAAAACTTTCCATAAGATGATTCAGGGATGGGAACTGGATTAAAATTCTCGATACGCCATATTTCAAGTCCACTTTCTATGGTTAAGGAGAATAATGCCAGAAGGACAGAAAAAAAAAATACCTGAATAAAATCAACCCAAACATAGAACAGAATCTAATGAAGCAGCAGCAACCATGAATGAACTATGTCAGGATGAAATATGATAATTGTTAAACAGCATGATATATTATTATTAGCTAGTGCAGGATACGCCTTTTGGCCAGCTCCCTTGAAAGCTGGATCCAAATCTCTCATAGAAACGGACATACTGCTCTTCTTCTATTTGGTCTTCCACAATCTAGCTTGAATATAGAAAACAATTGCCCTGGAACGAAGCCCTGTAGAAAGGAAAGATCTAATTGATCCATGGTGGGAGTAAGAAGCAAATGAAAAGGCTCCCACTAACTTTTTTCAACTAGGAAAATCTGGCTCAGAATAACTTTATGAAGACAAATTGATTTACAGATTATACAAGTGATTACAATTAATGTGCTCAACACAACATTTACCTTTCAATCACAAAAACTCAAAGAACTAATTTATATATATTCTTGTTCCACAAATTTTCACATGCATAGTAAAACATTCTTAAGCATGTCAGCAACTACATACTCTCTCATAACTGCTTAAAATAAATGAGTACATAAATAAATAATCAAACCTCTAATGCATGCTGCTGGTAAAAAACACCATATCCTAATTAATATCTAATTGGTATAAACTTGTTAAATGCCTTAGCTGTAGAAAATGCGTTTTCAGTGATCATATAATAACTCCTCGCCAAAGCTGACTGAATTAAATATTTAGTATATCACATCTAATCAAGGAAAACACACATTTAATCAAGGAAAACACGCAGATCTTCAAAGGCACATGCAGTAAAGACAATGTACCGAATTTGCCTGGTACACCTAACCCAAACAGAAATAATAGAAGGAGAGAGAGAGAGAATGTCACTTAAATGAAGAGTGATTTTGGAAAATAATCACCTAATAATAATATCAACTGAAAAAGGAAAACTGTCTGGAAATACATAAATTCATGTACGTGTCCCTCTGTATCAATGCAAGCATAACAACTCACAACAAGCTAAAATCCACAAATATATAAAATATCTTCAGGCTTAAATTCACTTTTGGTCTTTAAAGTTCTGTGGATGTGCAATTTTGATCTTCCAGCTTTTCAAAGTTAAGCAATTATAGTTCACCGTTAATATATTATTTAATTGTTAACATAGAATGGTAATATATATATATATATATATATATATATATATATATATATATATATATATATATATTTGTGTGCGTTATTCTTAATACATGATATATAAATGAGTAGTTAACACTGGTATCACTAACATACATATAATTTTTTCTGTATCCAATAGATCCATATTAAAATTCAAAAATTCTGCAATTAAAATTTTGTAGGGTGTAGAATTGCACATTTATGGAAATATAGAAAATAAAAGTGAATTTAAGTCATATCCTTACAATTTTCAAACTTCAAAATCCTCCATTTGAACAACAATAAAAAAAAATAGAACTAAAAATAATATACAGTGAAACAAACAATGTACGTGCACTCTGATTTTCAGGCCTAATACCTTGAATTTCAAAAATTAAGTAGGAGTAAAAAAAAAATACAGCCAATACCCAACTTGAGGGGAGCAAAAAGACTCAGATAAGAGAATTTATCAATTCAATTCAATTTCATTGACACAACCTTAGTCTCTTTCAAGTACCTAGCCATCAATTATTGTTCATTCATAATGTGAACGACTTCAAATGCTATCTTTAATTAAATTAAATGCAACGAGACTTGGGAATTTGGATGGATTGCATATTGTGTAGTAGTAATCAAAACAGAGTTTCAAAAGATACTGATGAGAGCAACAAATGAAATTCAAAAAGCGAAGGCTACGTACCTTCTTACCAATCAATCACCTACGCGGGAAAGTTCATTTCCTCCTTTCTTCTTCTGCTTATTTGGTTTGAGTGGGTAAATAGCCAACATGCATGTACACAAGTTTGTTTATTTTCCAGGTTCTGTTTCTCTGATTCGGTTCTCGAATTATCTTTATTTTATTAAAAAAATAGGGATAGTGAAATTTTGTTATTTATTTTTTATTTAATTATAATTTTAAGGCGAAGAGAGAAGATGATAAAGGAAAGGGATGGTACGCGAAAGACCGGTGAATGGCTGGTGATGGAGCAAGCTGACCTCCGAATTGCGAGGATTAGACTCGGAAAAGAGACAAACCGGGAAAGTTGAGTTACCAACCAATGCCAATGTCAATCCTATTACTGTGTTATTCATTCTTCCAATGCAATTTCCATGAAATGAAAATGTGTGAAGCTCTCTGATTCGTGTGCCCCCATTTTACAATACTGCACTGCGATTTTAGTTTATGTAATATAATAATAGTACTATAACAAGCACAGCACAATACAAATTATATAACTATCATTTATAAATATTATATATAAATATTATAGTTGGGCAAAATAATTAACAAATATATAATAAATAATTTACATATTTATAAAAAATTTAAAATTGAAATAGGTTGGATTTAAGAAGGATAAAATATACGATTTAGAATGATTGAAAAGGGTATTATATATATATATATATATATATATATATATATATATATATATATATATATATATATATATATATATATATATATATATATATTTTTTTTTTAAATAGTATATTAAAATATTCTTTCAAAATATATTAAGAATTTCTCTCCCTGAAAAATTAACATATTAATAATTAATATTTATTGATATAAAAACTCAATAAAAAATAGAAAATCATTACAATTTGCGTAACCACCTTATAATAAGTAAGAATTTGGAAGAATCATAACACAAAGTTAATAATTGAAGTTGGGAAGTTTAAAGCCTTATTATATATTTTTATACTTCTAATGTGAAGTTTATACCTTCCAATTATATCCTAACTCTAGGTATTTTACTCTCTAGTACATTTGAAAAAAAGTATTTATAGTTAAACAAAAAGAAAAATTATGAAAAATAAAATAAATTTATTTATAAACTAATATTTATATAAATTAAAAATCATTTTCTAAAAAAAAACAACTTCTACGTAGTAAGTATGGATAAGTTATATTTAATTTTAAATTTTCATTTCATTTTTCTTTTTACTTTATTTTCCTATAAATATACATGAGAGTTTTCTTCAAACTGTGAAATTATAATGATAAATTAAATTACTCTCTGCAATTGACTGAATACTAAGATTGAAAAATATCAATTAAATTAGTCCTTGAAATTATGATGGTTGGCTATAGTGCTTCCAAATTAAAATAAAATTTAATAAAATGATTTCTAACAATCAAATCATCAATCAAATAGTTCCTTTGCTGTTAATTGGTATCATATAATAATTTAAAAGGAGTATATTCCCAATTCGCTACACACTTACATAATTAAAAAGGTTTAGCCTCTAATTTGAATTTATGCACTTTGTTTTGGAACCGTTATTTCCTAGCTTCTCACGATTTTTTCTTATATGCATTTTTTCTTGTTTGCATATCTGTTCACAGTGCACTCCGTGTCTCTGTAAGTTACTTTGTTCTTGGTATGTGATTCTGAAGTTTAATGTGTTATTCAATTAAGTTTATATGAACTGATTTGATTTATTATATTTGGTTGTGATGTATGTGAGAACATTTAACAAAAGTAAAACGTAGGCAGCTTTTCTTATGCAGAAAAAGACCAAGAAATTTGAACATCATCAGTTTTCCTCCATCCAATGATAAAAAGCAGAAGTCAGTTTAGAAGCTGGTTCTGCTTCTGTTCTCTTTGCAATTGGCAAATCCTCTTTATTTTCTATTGCATCCCTTTCTCTACAACTTATTGTGTGATTTCTTAATTTTATTCTCATTTGGACCATAAGGAAATGGAAAAATTAGAAAAGAAGCTATATAGGTTTATATTCTAGGAAAAAGAGAAGGCAATGTTTAAGCTACCCGTCATTATTTACTATGTCTTAATTATAGCTGAAATTTATAGGATTACATGATTTTTGAAACTTGTTTTACACATGCGCAGACTCATAATTGGAAAAATCAATTAAATATGTACTCTTTGTTAGAAATAAGTCAAAACGGTTTTTTCTTTCTGTTTCTGTACTGTGTATAAATACGTTTATTCATTTCACATAATATACGTAATTCCTATCATTCTTCTGCATGCATGCATAGTTTCTATATGATATCAAGAGCCAGAACGGTTTAGTGAGGGGGTCTTCCAGTCCGTAAGTTGAGAAGTGGTTCTCTTGTTTGTGATTCTGCCAGACTGTGTGTGGCGTGTCAGGGTGTCTTTGTGAAGCACGTGTGAAGTTCAAAGAAACCTATAGCAATTCTTCAAGAAACGTTCAAAAATCATGGCTGGACTTGGTGGATTCATTCCTGGAGGGTTGCCCATGTTCGATGGAAGCTGTTTTGATGATTGGAAGATCAAAATACGCGCGGTGTTTGGATTCCAAGATGTGGCCGAAGTGATCGAAGTTGGCGTTGTCGATCCCGGTAGCAAGGCATCAGACGAAGAGAAGAGGAATTACAAACAGATGTAGAAGATGGATAGCAAAGCCAGGTATTTGCTATATCAATGTGTGAATTATGAGATCTTTAACAAAATTTCAATGGCTGAAACGGCTAAAGAAATATGGGAGATTCTCATCAAGACTTACGGAGATAGTGACAAGCACAAGCGAGTAAAGTTGCAGGCCCTACGTAGAAGCTTTGAGTTCTTGATAATGGAAGACAACGAATCTGTGACGAGTTACTTCAACAAAGTTCAGAGTGTGGTTAACGCCATGAAAAGCTGTAACGAAACATTGTCTCAAGAACACGTGGTAAACAAGATTCTTCGTTCTTTGCATCCAAAGTTCGACCATCTTGTTATCACAATTGAAGAAACAAAGGACATCGACAAGCTGAGTATTCAAGAATTACAGCACTCGTTGGAGGCTCACGAACTACGCATGAGTGATCGCAAATCGTATCAGGAGTTGGTTCTTCAAGCAAGAACTTCATCGAAGCCAAAGAAAGATACCAAGAAGGGTCACAAATCCAAGAAGAAGACTGATCCAGAGTCGAAAGATGGGAATGGGAGTAAAGACAAGGTGTTTGGCAAAAAGCAAGTGAAATGCTATAACTGCTAGAAGTATGGCCACTTCGCACGCGACTGCTGGCATGGTGATGAAGCGAAAAATAAACCCAAGTC